TCAAAGGATATGAGCTTGAAGTATTGTCACCAGTTGAAAAGAAAAGATTAATGAAAGCAAAGTGTGTCATTTGATTACTCCATTAGCTATAAATTTTATTATTATTATTTTTGTCACACTACAAAAAATTAAGATTTTTGTTAGTCAAAAGATAATCTAAGAGAGGGGTGAATTAGATTTTTACAATTAAAAATTAATAATACCCTAATAAAAATTATGACTAGCACAATAGATAAATATAATTAATGAAATAAAAATAATTAAAACAAGTATTCTAACAACTATGTCAGTTATTGATTTTAGCACAGTAAAAATGTGAAATATAGTTACAGTAATTTAAATAAAATAAAGAGATAAGAGAGAGAGGCAAACAAATTTAGAGTGGTTCGGCTTCAACTCGGTCTACGTTCACTCCTCAAGCTTCACTTGAGATTTTCCACTATATTCTAACTTCACAGGGGTGCTAGCAATCTCTTTACAAATGGAGCAATCCTCTACGGATTTTATATAGACTTTCTAAGTCAAGAATACTGAGTGTACTACACTCTTACAAGGTTGAAAAGAATGTGTTTTTGCTTTCACAGAAAGCTACAAGAATTATCTCTCAAAGACAGATATAAAAATGAAACTCTGATTTTTCTGTAAACCTCACACTGGAAAGATCGGCTTAAAGCTATACGTCTCAGTGTATAATTTCTGAAATAGGATGTAAACAAAAATTGAAAAACACTCCTCAAAGAATTTTTCAGAGAATAGATGTGAGTGATTATAGATTAAAGAATATTTTCTAGTTTTTTTTGTAACTTATTTACATTAAAAGCTTTGGTATATATAATGAAACCTATAACCATTTATAGCCGTTGTATTCATTTGAACTTATAACCGTTTATAGCAGTTGTATTAATTTGAATTTATAGTCATTTATACCTGTTGTACTCCATCATTACTAATTTGAATATCTTCTACTCCATCATTACAAATTTGAATATCTTTCACTTGAACCTTTTGAACTGCTGCTGTGTTGGGCTGTTTGAACCTCTGTTTTTGGGCTACTTGAACTCCTGATTTAATCAAATATTAAATACATTCTAACAAAATTTAAGATAAAGGTTTAGGTGAGAAATAATGGGACAAAATAAATTTTGATTCTATTTTTCTCTTTCAAATAAATTAAAAAATAAAATCATCAAAATAAATGTTGATTCTATTTTTCTCTTTCAAATAAATTATCAAAATAAATTTTGATTCTATTTCTCTTTCAAATAAATTAAAAACATAATTAAATAAATTATCAAAATAAATAAGTCTAACAGTTTTAGAGACCAAAATTTGGGGACAAAATTATTTTTTAGGGACTAAATATTTTTGTTGTAAAAAGTGTCGTCATTATATTTTTAGCGACGAAAATTATATATTAGTGATGAATTATTATCCTTTTTTGACCAAATTTTTTGTCTAAAAAAATAAACTATTTTGAGACCAAATTATTTTGTCCCTAAAAGTATATTTATTAGTAATATTTTCAAAATTTTGTCGCTAAAAGCCTTGTTTTTAGCTTTTCAGGACGACCTTTTAGCTACTATACTCATGATGATAGAAATTGGTCTTTAAATATCTTTTGTAACAAAAATTTCACTTTTAGAGTCCAAAACATTTGATCTCTAAATCTCTTATATATTGTAGTGCCAAATGGTGGATGTTAGTAAATTACATTATTATTCACGTCATCACTCGTTGAATTTTTTTATTTAGGCCTCGTTTGGGAATAGACTAATTTAGTAATTTTTTGACTATTTGGCTAAAATATGAACTAAAAAAACTAGTATATTTAGAATGACTTTTTGACTTTTTATGAAAAGATATGTAAAAAGTAGAGAGAAAAGAGAATTTTTGACTTTTTGGTATGAGTTGTTAGCTTTTGAATTTTTTTAATGACTTTTTATTTTTTTTACTAAAAGGACTACTTGTCAAACGAGACCTTATTATTATCATAAAGTTGTGGAATGTTGCTTTTAAATTCGTTATATAAGTTACGATCATTTAGCTTACAATAAGTTAGAACAAATAAAGTCACGTAGAGTTTGTGACTTATATTTTATGAGACCCCCATAGATTAAACTTTTACATCTATCTGAATTAATTTTTGGAGTTCAAAATTTGACTAGGAATCGTTATTATGTGTACCTTTTAAATAATTATAAGATATAATTAGTAAAATTTGCTAATAGATAGGGTACTTATAAAAATTCTATGTGCGAAGGTGATATACACTACTTTTTGTAGTAGATTCTCCTTTGCCAAATAAACATGGGCTAGTTTATCAAAAACCTCGTGAATTCTCAATATTTTTCTTCTTTTTAGAGTGTGTATTCGTGTTGATGGGTTGTGAAAAATCGTAAATAATTTTTGTTGGAGCAAGAAAAATGTAGGTACAAGAGATGAACAACCTGTGACATGTGACTTTCAACAAAGTATGTGATAACTATTAAACTATTTTATTAGGCTTGCACAAAGACTCTCAATTGCGTAGGAAATATGCATGATAATCTTTAATGGAGCAAAGAAAATTACGATATATAATATGATGGCTCCTCTCAATAAAATGCATGTGATAGCACCATTCTGGGTTGGACATAGTATTGAAAGATAATAGATCAAAAGGCACATCTGTGGTTCATGGTGAACTATTCAAGATCTTAATGGATGGCAAATTATGAAATAAAGCCCGATGAATGTTTCACACGTAGGAAAGAATTGTTAAAACATGCATGAAAGTAGAGTCCTATAATGTAAGTCAACTCCAATTATACATTTAATAAACTCATCACTTACAAGACTTCTTAATATAATTAGGTTCCAAATAATTTGAATTGAGCCATGATACTGTGCATGAGAACTCCTTTGTTACACCTTAATTGATTAAGTCGCACTATTATTGTTGCGCATTCGTAGGTTCTCCAAATTTGTTTTTGGAGAACATAAGCTGTAAGTGATTATTGCTGATAATTTTCTAATTTAAAAAAATTTCAAAGAGCATCTCCAACGGTAATAGGCATTTTACCTATCTAAATATTACTATAAAGTATATATTTTATTTTGCCTATCAACTATTTCATGTTTCTACTCCAACCATGCTCTTTATTTTAGCTATTCATCTAAATACGATTAATTTTATAAAATGCCACATCAGCAACAAAGATGGAGGGAAATGATCCTAATGATTAAATATATTTTGCCTAATCTTGAAGGCTAGCTACATGTAGCTAGTGAATGTGAGTTGAGCTAAAATGCCTAACCATATGCCTAGTGCATTGGAGTTGAAAAAAATGAGTTATACTAGGCATTTTGACTAACAAGCATGATATGCCTAGTGGGTTGGAGATGCTCTTACAAGACTTCTTAGTATAATTAGGTTCCAAATAATTTGAGTTGAGCCACGATACTGTGCATGAGAACTCCTTTGTTACACCCTAATTGATTAAGTCGCACTATTATTGTTGCGCATTCGTAGGTTCTCCAAATTTGTTTTTGGAGAACATAAGGTGTAAGTGATTATTGCTGATAATTTTCTAATTTAAAAAAATTTCAAGCTTGATGTAAATCTAAAATATATATATATATATATATATTAAAATTATTTTAAAAATTTTATAAATAGACAAGTCCGATCAGGCCATGCCAAGTTAAAATTTAATTCTAGGCCCAACTCAAAAAATAAATAAATAAATAAATCAAAACCTTAGCCTAATTCAATCTTGTGGGTCGAAATGCAGACCCAGCACCGAGCTTATGTCAACTTTTATTTGTCACTACTAAAGCATCTATTTCGTTGACATTTCAATCTCTTTTGAAAAATATTCAAAAACTATTTAGGTAAAAAATAATATGTATTATTTTCATATGATTTTTTTTTGGACTGAATTCTTTTTTAAAAAAATGAAAAATATATTTTGTGTTTATTTTGTCAAATCAGTTTTTAATTTTTGTGAAAAAAATCAAAAATAAGTTTTGAAAACTTAACAAAACTCCAAAAAATTACATTAAGGGTAACTTTATTTACCCACAATACCAACTCTTAGTGTACACTATAAATGGTGTTTGGATATAAATTTCCGGGCAAATTACAAACACTCTCTTCAAGATTTGGTAAAAATACAGATTCTCCTTCTAAAGTTTAAGAAATTACAAATTGCCCCATGAAGGTCAAATTTTCATAATAAATTAGGAAAAATTAGGGGAGAATCTGTATGAAAATAAAAACTTCAGGGGGGCAATTTGTTATGAAAATATAAACCTCAAGGGGCGGGATGTAATTTCTCAAACCTCATGGAGGAATCTATATTTTCACCAAATCTCAAGAGGGTGTTTGTAATTTGTCCTAAATTTTCAAATAAAAGTTAAATGTTCGAATATAAATGTATAAATATAAACTACAAATAACTGAACGGAATGTGTATTTAAATAATTTATTTTTGTTCAAAACTTTAAATCCGAACATTTAATATTTATTCGTAAATTTATATCCAAATATGACTTGTAATATGTACTGAGAAAATGTATAATGTGTAAATAAAATTTTCCTTCCATAATTGGAGGTTGCAATTTTTTATTTGTGACATTATCATCCAGAATAATATTATATGTACCAATTAATGTACCAATTGATCATATAACATAATTTTTTTAAAAAATTTAATATTTATAATATAATTAATAAATAAAATTAATAATAATATCATAACTAATATTAATACACTAAATAACATACATGAGACCACCGCTATTGTCCCTCCAAAAGAGTCTGCAATTTTTCAATTGTCACATTATTGGCCTTCCTTAGGACATGGTCAACTTTCATTCATTCATATTTTGATTAATTCATTCATATCTTCCAAAAATAAATTTTAGCAATGTGTATTTATGTAATTGGAGTATCCAAGTTGGTTGAACAAATCTACCATTTTTATTTATATCTTTAATTCAAAATTTTCAAATCTAAATTTTTTTTTTCATAAATTTCATTATATATTTTCATTTATATAAATTTCATTGTCATTCATTTGGCCTTTTCTCCGAAGTCAAAAGTGGCCTTGCCCATTCTCCAAAATCAGATTTGAACAATTTTTGGGATCCAAATTCCCACTCCATCCGAAAATAATACCTGCACAAAACCAACCAAAAAAAAAAGTATTAAATAAAATAATAATAATAAATATAAAACAACAAAATCAAACAATAATAAATAAATAAAATACTTCACCTCAAATAAACAAGCATACGTATATGTACACAACACATACGTATATACGGATCGAAAAGACGAACGAACGATGCAAGTCCCTACAAACGGAGGTAACGAAAACGTCGAATCACACGTCAAACGTAACGGAGAGAGGACACAAACGAATGACTGAATCATAATTAGATGGATCTGTGCATGAAGCAATCTTACCAACATTTTAAGCTCCGATTAATCAATTCAATTCAATTTAATTTAATTTCAAATTTGATGATTTAAAGGCTAATTGAATGGTTAATTAGAAATCCAGTTGGTCCTTGAATTGCCTTTAATGGCTGCGATTGATATATGTATATATATATATATATGAACACACACAAAAAGTATCATAATCGGATTTTCTAGGGTTTCGGTCACCGGAGTACACACAAAAAAGGAGTCCGTTCCGACCTATTCGCCGGATCTGCCACCTCCGTCGACAGAAAAATTGGAGAATTGTGCAAACTGAGAGATTATTGATCAACATACTCTCTCGATCTCATCACAATTCCTCTGATTTCGACATGATCGAGAGCCGGCTCGGCCTCGGCTGGAACGCGGCGCGCCGTCGTTGCTGGTGAGACGAAGGTCGAATCAGAGCCGACAAAGCTCTCTTCACTAGATCGCCTTCAACGGTTCCAATTCGAACGAGCGAATTCGTCATCGCAGACCTCCGAGCATTCAATCGGCTCGAAGGAAACGAAACCGACTGGTTATTGAAATTCTTGTGTAAACTGCAACGAAATGAACCTGGATGCGATGTCGGCGAACACATACACGTCCGTTTCTGAGTTCCAATCTTCTTCACCACCTGGTTCCGAGACGATACGGAGATCGATCGGCTCGGAGAAATCTGTCTGTCGAGAGAGAACCGCAAGGACGGAGACGAAGGAGATGAGCTGTAGAGATTGACACGAGTAGGAGAGGATGATCTTTGGAAGAACGAGCCTGATCGAGACGAAAAGCTCGAGGTCGAAGAAGCAAAATCGGAAGAAGAATACGACGATGGAGTCGGTGAGTAGAACCTTCCGGATGGAGAGAGTGAGCGTAGGACTGGTCCGCTTGATCTTCGTGACGAAGACGAAGCCGCCATTTTTGTTTCAGTAGAGAGAGAAAAGTGTAGAGAGAGGGAGAGAGTTTCTTTAAAGCCCCGTTTGGCTCTCTAATTTGGCAAACCTAGCTTTACTCAAGCCCTGTATTTATAGGATCGACTGAGGCGATTTTCGACTTTTTCTCAAAATATTTCGCTTTTCTGGAACTTGGAAAGCTTTAAATTATCTAACCTAACCGGACTTGGGTTGGGTTAGAGGGTTGGGTCCAATGTCGCGTAAATTTTTTACTCATGGATATTTTATTTTAGGGGGAAAAAAAACCAAAAATTAAAATTTAAGACCCAAAAAATAAAACCCAAAAAAAAAAAAAAAAATACTGATTTATTGGTATCTCAACCTAATAGATATACTATAGTATTTTGTAATCACAATAGAAAGAAAAATGGAAAAACATTACAAAAAAAAATGACAAACAAAAAAAATTGCAAATTCATGATTCATTTGCACAATTTAGGCCTATTTTGACAATTAGAAAAAATATTAATTTATTGGTTTATTTTGATCAAATCACCTCTCTATTTTTTTGATATATTTTTTAAAAAAAAATCAAAAAATTGACTTTTTTCTTACTTTCCAAAATAGTTATTACATAAATCGCTCGTCATTTCATGAATTTACAATTACTTTTTCAAAATTTTCACTTTTTGATTATTTTTTTCAATAAAAATGGGTTAATTTTTATTTTGCGATCTCCTAAATTATCACCATTTTGACTTCCTACACTATAATTTATTCTATTTAATTTTTAAAATATCTTATTTTATTTTACACAATCCAATTTGAGTCAATTATACAGGTTAGGTAAAGGGCTTATTTTTTACAAATTAAAATGACTATACGAAGTCACTATACGTTATCACATCACTTCCTCTACTTTTTTTATACATCTCTTCATAGAAAATTAAGAAAGTACTAAAATAGTATATTCTCAAACGATGCCTAACATTTGAAACTTACACCCTACAAGCAATTTGTTGGGTGTTTGGTTATCAACAATACTTAGATATCCTACATTTTGCAGCCACAAATGCATCTACAATGATGTGGCAAGGATAATGAGTCTCATATCATTGAATATTTAACTAATTAAAAATTGACATTCATCAAATTACATTATTATGGGTTAAATTATGAAAGATTTATGAGAGTCTCAAATATTTTCCGTTTGGTTATATGCTTAAATTGTTCAAATTTAAACGATTAATTTGTAAAATCCTCTAATATTAAACTACATAACTGAAATTATAAACTTTACTGACCACATAGATGAAATTGATAGTATAAAAATGAAATAAGGGTGAATTACACTAATGATCCCTATAGTTTGGGACTTGTGTCACTTTGATCCCTGACTTTTCAATTGTGACACATTTGACCTTGAATTTTGAATATTGTTCCAAATAAGGACAATTGAACCTACTATTGGATTTTTTAAAGGTAAAATCGCCAATTTGATAAAATATAAACTAATTTGATAAAAATAAATGTCAAAAAAACATTTTTAAATTTTTAAAAATTATTTCTACCTACTAAAGATAAAATTATATAAAATTAATAAATCTTTTAGATATTCATTTTTTTTATCAAATTAATTTTTATTAAGTATTTCTATGATGATCATGTAAAATTAATTTTTAAAAATTAATCATGTAATTTTTATCAATTTTACATAATTTTATTTTTGGTGGGTAAAAATAATTTTTAAAAAATTAAAAATATTTTTTTTGACATTTATATTTGTCAAATTAGTTTATATTTTATCAAATTGACAATTTTACCCTTGAAAAATCCAATGGTAGGTTCAATTGTCCTTATTTAGAACAATATTCAAAATTCAGGATCAAATGTGTCACAACTAAAAAGTCAAGGACGAAAATGACATAACTCCCAAACTATAGGGACCATTAATGTAATTTGCCCATGAAATAAACTATTTAGTTTAGTGGATAAAATTAAAATTAATTACAAAAAATTAATTACTTTTTTTCTTCTTATCTCATCATTCTTTTTTCCCCTCTCTCTACCACGGCCACTCCCCCATGGTTCAATTTGGTACCTTTCATAGGAGAGAGATTTGTATGCGGATAGGATTTATCTATATGATACATTTTACTATTGTAATTAGTGAAAGATAATGGAATAGGGGCATATTGTTGAATGCTTGGAAAACAATAAAGGATACATACATTTGTGATTGGTAGAAAGTAATATTATGTGATACCCTATTAGTATACAAAACCTTTTTCTTTTGTAGATATTCCGTATGGAAATCTGCAATGAGGTTCCAAATCTCTTCTATCCTACCATGTAGGGCTGTAAAATTGGCTCGTGGGCCACCCGAAGCCCCCCTTGCGGCCTAGGCCCTAGCCTAGCCTGAGACTCTGGACTTGGGTCTAGGCCGTCTATTTTACAACTGGGGCCGCCCTTTGGCCTCGTTTATCGGCCCGTTTTAGGCCTATTCAAGGCTTAGTCCAAGGCTCGTCCAGCCTACCCAAGGTCCGAATATCCCCTGAGCCTAGTTTTTCTAGCCCATGGGCCGCTCCGATTTGAAATTTGACAAGAGCTCGTGCTGCCTGACATGGACTGGCCTGAGCCCAAGCTCGGGTGGGCCGAGCTGGGCCGAATTTACACCCCTACCACTACCTAGTCCCACACTTCTCTTGTCGTGTAAATTACTCATGGGTATTTATTTTGGATAAATTACAATAAAGTGTTTTGAATTTTTTTTTAAAAAATACAGTCTTATAATTTTGATATATTTATATTGATTTTTTTTTAAAAAAAATTAAATGGATTGAAATTAATTCAGAATGTAAAGTATATATTTTTTGAGTAAAAAAGATAATATCATTTTTTTTATTCATATAACTTACAAATTATTGATGAACTTAATATTGGGGGTGAGCCGTGGATGTTCCGATCCGTCCAAACCGACTGAATCGAACCGATCCGTTGCATTTTGGATAGATGTATAATGACGAGCGGACGGTTGTAAATTGATTTTTTCCAATCTATCTAGTTTTGGACGGATGGAAGATGTGAGGTTCATTTGGCCGCAACCGAATTGCCAAACCGTGAGCGCTCCTAGTAATTTGTAAGATTTTGTATTTTTAATTTGTTTAGATATTCTGTTTGTATTTTCAATAGAAAAAAAGTTTAGATATTCTGTTGTGTTTTCAATTTGGAAATCCTTTTATCAAATGACAAGTTTTGATATTTGGTATTTTTGTGTGAAAAATATAAAGATTAATTTTGTCATTTAAAAAAAAATCAAATTAAATAATTTTTGAACAAAAAAAAATGAAATACTTTTGATAATGCATAGTTTTCTTAGATGTATTTATTATTGGTATTTGACAATTTATTTGATAATCTTTTGGTTAGGCTGAGCTGAATTGTTAGCCCAAAAAAAATATTGACAAGTTGTTGTATTATATTCAAAATTTATAAAAATTTAAACCGCCAAACCGATTTGCATCCATTCACCAATCTGTATTCGTCAATCTGGCAAACGAATGCGGATTGATTTTTTTCAATCTGCCAATCTGGCAGACAAATGACAGATTTGTGATTTTCCGACCGCAACCGAACTGCAAACACCTCTACTTAATATAATTATATCAAAATTATAAAATTTATTATATTTTCTCTAAATCTTAAGAGAGGTCAGTATAACTTACTTTTTATTTTTACATCCAAATTCACAGATATACATAAAAGCAATTTAAAAAAAAAAAATTGCACATGTGTGAAAAGAAATTTTAATTATTTTTTATCATCATCTTTTTATAATTTTCTAAGGACATTTTAGTGGCGCGATTTTTTTGTGACTTTTTTTATGGGTAAAAAAATTGATATGACATTTAATTGTTTTAGTTTTTTTTTTGAACGAAATTTAATTGTTTTAGTTGATAACAAACAATTTATGACTCATTTAAGAATGGACTATTTTAATTGATTTTTTAAACTTTTTTATAAAAGAAAAGTACAAAAAAATAGAAAAAGTGATGTAATAATTTTTTATTTTTTTATTTTGATTATTTTAACCTATTGACAAACAAGGCCTTAGTAACTTTCTCACTTTTTTTAATGAAAATTTGACTTCTTTTACGTGTCCCCAAACAATCCCTAACGCTGCGTTTGGTTGGGGGATTTGAGGAGGGATTTGGAAAGGGAAAAGGAAAAATTAGGTGAAATGTAAATAAAATATACTTACATTTCACCTAGTTTCACACACTTTTTCCCTTTCCTTATTCAATTCCCTCCGCAAATCTCCCAACCAAACACACTATTAATGTAAAAGCCTAAAAAATAGAAGGTGATGCCAATAACAATCATTATCATTAAGATTATTAGAATTCTAATGTACTTTTCATATATAGTCACATATGTAAGTTTTACATATTTCATTAGCATTTTTTTCAAAAATAAATTGATTAAAAATTTAAAAGTTCAATAAAAACAAAAGTAAAAAATAAAAAAACACTTAAACAATTGTTTTCAAGTAAATCAGTGAACTTCTAAATATTTTAATAGCTTTTAGATTAAAAGTACCTTAAAATTAAAAATTATAAAAATTGACAAGTTTAAATACTTCCAAATAAACTCTTAAATAGACATATATATAATTATTTAATGGATGGGGAAATACCAATAGAAAAACTAGACCGGAGAAGCGGCTTCCCAACTCACTCACCGTTGTAGAGAACTAGGAATCTCCTCCTTCCACACCCTTGGAGAATCCAACAGTAAAGATTTCTCAAAATATTTATTTATGCAAAATATTTCTAAAAAAGTGAAGTCCACCTTAAAAGTCAGCTTTTTAGTATTTTTGATTTTTTTAAATTACGTTATCTCTTTAAATTTTTATACATTTTTTTTTTTAGATTGCCTTTAAATTTTTATACATTGAAAAAATAAAAAATCAAAATATTTAAAAATTAGCGTTTAACTTACTTTCTAAAATAGGACATAAGATTTTAATGTCTTAATGCTGGAAATAGAGTAGGTTGGGATTATAAAACGACAAAAGATTTGACTGTTTCAATTATCGGGGTTCCCTTTCTTTTG